TTCGCACGTTTCTCGCGTTCTGCGCCAAAAAAAAAACCTACGAAGGTTAATTTTGTGACCTGACTGTTCATTTCACTTTTTCACCAACACAGAGTGCATTTAGTGATGCGGGGAAACCACTATTGTGCAATCGCCCTCTTATAGTAGCCACAAAGAGAATTATTCAATCAAATATGTGGAGGTAAAGAGTTAAAACTAATTCATTTTGCAGACCTCTATGCTTGGGATGAAAAGAGACTGTGGAGGGGCAGCTGGTATTCTAGGAGCTTTTAGAGCAGCAGTAAAACAGGTCAGTAAGTTGCTGTAATTAAAAACTTTCCTGTCTCCCACAACTTTCGTCCAAAACTTATATACTTCAAACTTCTTCCCTTCACATTTGCCCTTCATAGTAATGACTCTCTTGATGGTTGCCGCTCAGGTTTACGAATCACCCCTCACTGCCTTTAACGGAGAGTCGTACCACCATGGCTTCTCTAACATCCCCTTCGCATGGGCGGATCTAGGGAAGAGGTACAGGAGGTGCACACCTTGATCCACCACCCCCCTCCCTCCTCCGTTGTCCCGCTCTGTGGCTCTAGCCATCGGTCAACTTCCTTCTCGATGCTCCTGTGCTATATCAAATGCCCAAATGCCACAATTTACCAACGGCTATGTATAAAGTTTGAAAATTCATGAAAATAATGATTCAGTTTATGATCCTTACACAGGGCTTTACTGAGAATCTTCATGCTGTGTTCTGCATGGCAGAAAATGCTGTTGGTCCTGACGCTACTAGACCTGATGACATTTTGACGTTATACTCAGGAAAGTAAGTTTCATCTGAATATCGTAAACTGATTACATTGCAGTGAGGTAGTAAGTTGTGTATAGAGTCACGTCGTGTCGACTGTAGAGCAATTCCACTGTAAGGTCGAAAGTAATGTGGGTCTCACCTTTCTTCACTCCGTGATTGGTCGAGAAATTTCTCACCATCCTCTTAACCAATAAGATGTCAAGATGCCAAACTTAACTCATTTCTGACCAGGCCACTCGCTTTTTTCCGTGCTCCAAGCATTTTTCTTGTATCTTTTTTTACTTCTCATCGGCTCACTGTGATATTTTTCCTGTGATTGGCTGTTTTTACTATGTCGGTTTAGTTTTACAATACGCAATCGAAATGCGCTTTAAGCGTAAAGAACCTTGCATCAGACCCCAACGTAGTTTGGAAGCTTTTCACTGAGAATGATAAAAACTACACCTGTTTAACGAGCATTTAGACTTCTTTATACAGTTTTTTCAGTCAAAAGTACTAATTACAGACGGCCGAGGCGAATGGGAATAAAAAGCCGTTTACTAGATGCAGTCACCAGTTTGTTCTTTTTTGAATTGGATTTATAGATTTCACATAATAATTGATTTCACAATCGACCTTTCCGGATTTGATTACTGGCTGTAAATCAACGTGTACGTGTACGTCTGGGCTCGAAAAAAGGGAGACTGTAACATCACCATCTGTGTATCACATACATGTGCTTGCCGTCACAAATAGATAATTAAGTTAAAGCATGACAATCGTGACGCTGTTCTTTGAGGTTTTTCTCTGTCCTTTGAAACCCAAAACAACATTGTTAAACACAAAAAGGAGTCAGAAAGAAAGGAAAACTTTCGGGTCACCTTACAATGTTAAATTTGTCTTTTTATTCAATCTGGTGTAGAACTGTCGAGGTTAACAATACCGATGCTGAAGGCCGCTTAGTTCTTGGAGATGGGGTAAGACCAGTTTACATGCAGAACATTTTTATTCTAGTAGTTGACCATAGCTCTGTAACCAACCGCCATTCAGAGACGATGGAGGACCGTGCATGAGAAATCATGATGTTACTTCTGAATAACTTACATCAAAAACGCATCACAGAAAGTCAAGACGGACGAAATTTTGGCAGCGCGCGCGCTATTTTTAATTTGCACTCGTTACAACTCTGCACCCGTGTTACAGGAGAAATGTTTCCGTTTTCAGCCAATCATGTATATTCTTAATAGCGTTCCATGATTGCAGGGTCATTGTGGTATGCCGTGGATCTGTTTACTTTTCAGTAACCAAACTGCCACTTGTATGATGGAGTTTACCTTTCTCTTTTGTTCCCAGGTGGCGTATGCCAAGAAGGATCTCCATGCCGACGTTGTCCTTGACATGGCCACCTTGACTGGTGCCCAGGGTATTGCAACGGGACGCTACCACGCGTCACTTTTGACCAACAAAGAGGTGTGGGAACCAGCTTGTGCTGCGGCGGGAAGAGCAAGTGGGGACCTGGTTGTGAGTAGTTAATTGTCATATGATGTCAACCTTTCAGTGAATCAGTTTTGACATCCTTGACTTCATTATAGAGAACACTGTAAAACAAAAAGTCTCCGCTTGTGATGAAGGCTAAAAGGACTTTTTCAATCGACGACCGCGCTAAAGATTTTGAAATTAACTTCTTTTTTAGTCTGTTTTCACACACTACGCTTTCGACAGCGCTATCTTGGCAGTAACCAGATCGCTAACCATATAATTTCGTAAAAAAGCTCGCCTAGCACATTTCTGTCGCGCAATAGGTGAAGTAACCGATGTTTAGAACCGTTTACAATCGATCATGATATTGGCAAGTCCAAAGTTCCAATCTTTGTGGAGGTCGCACATTTTTTCTCTCTCCTTTCAGGCTCATCTTTGGCGTGAAATTTCTCATTTTATTCTTATGATATTGTTTAACATTGTTCCACATTGTTCATCTGTTTCTCGTCTACGATATCGACTTAAAAATCTGCTCAGTTTTAAACCTATTTCCACTCTCTTAATTGTTCGTTGCACTTTTTTTTATTATTTCAGTTTCCCATTCCATATTGCCCAGAACTTCATTTCTCAGAATTTTCAAGTGCATTAGCAGATATGAAAAATTCAGTACAAGTAAGTTATTTGATGTATAATTTGTCTTGCCACAGCATTTAGTAATCACAATTTACCATAGGAATAAGCAGAGCAAAGCATGGAAAATGATTCCTTTTATTTTTAGGCACGTTGCTTACTGAGAGTCGAAAGTAATCCGTGACTGCTCAAGTTTGCATAACTACGCCTTGCGATTGGTCGAGAAAACTTACGCAACGTTCTCAACCAATCAGAGGCAAAAATTAAAGCCAGTCGTGATTACGTCACCCAAGTTTGCCCTCGCTTGAAGTGAGCTACCGTAGCTTCTTGTTTTAGTTCGCTCCTTATTATATTTTACTTTCAAACGTCTAGCGTTTGAGTGGAAAGCAAGAGAATACAAACTTAGCTATGAGGGACTAATAGCTACGAAACTCACTTCCATTTGACGTAAATACATGTCAGTTTAAGGGATACATCATTAAACCTTTTGTTTTACGCAGAATCGTGATAATGCTCAAGTGTCCTGTGCTGGCCTTTTCATTGGTATGTAATTTATGAAGGATTTTTGGGATTACTGTAGAAACTTTGTGCATTAACCGACGACAATAGACGAAACATCGCTCAGCAGATTCAATCACGTATAACGTAAAAAGAATTGTTTATGTCACTCTATTTGTAAGAAGATTTTTTTCATATTGCACTTTTGCAGCCTGTATAGTTTGACTTATAAAGAAAGCCTCACCTTGGTGATATGGGATGCTTTTTTTCCTTTTTTTTCCTTTATTAAGCGAACTTTTTGCAGAAGATAACTTGACCTTACACTTGAACTTGAATTATTTCTATTTATAGGTTCCCACTTAGGATTTGATTTCCCTGGAAGCTGGTTACATATTGATATGGCTGCTCCAGCTCATATGGTGAGCAAACTCATGAGCGTGTAACAACAACTAGTCAAATTTTGCCTCTAGCCATGCTAAACTACTCTAATATTTCGCGTAAAACTTGAATTCAAATCTCGAGCTTGTAGAGCAGCTCGTCCCAGACTCTCAAGGTCTCTGCAGAATTGACGTGCGTCTTTGCTATTGCAGGGTGAAAGGGCAACAGGTTACGGAGTGGCTCTCTTGGTCACCTTATTTGGAAAAGCGTCCTCGTCGAAACTCCTTCAGAGTATCGCACCAGAACTGCCGGCAAAGGACTCTGGGTTTGGCTATTGAAGATGATTATGGTGTCGTCGGGCCGAACAAAATGGCTGATTGAATAGGGAAGACTTGAATAAGACTTGAATAGGGAAGAAATGTTTTGACTGAAATTTGAACTTAGACTTACGGTTTTGAATTTTGACCACGTAGAGATTCTGATGCACATTCCAAAGTTCTCCCTTTTAATTTACCCTTCTCCAATCTACTGAATACAACTCATACCGTTTGAACACTCATGCCGTCAAAAATTAAATTTTATTTTTCCTCTGCACATGTGGTACTTGATGATTTTCCTTGTCAGAGAAGGACGTTGAGTGTGAAAGGTAAAATCAATTGAAATAAAAATAGAATCAATTTTCCCTGTCATTGGCGTGAGTTTTTTGTTTTCCTTTTTTTTTATTATAATTATTTCCGTTTCCTTGACGCCTCGTCTTTTTTGAGTGCCTCAGATGGAGCAATCGTTACAGTAACAAAATAACACCGTAATTACGACGGATGACTGACAATAGGCTATAAACAGTTTGTATTCTCTTGTGTCTGACTAATTCTCCGCGGCTAGTCCGTTTCTCAGCTAACATCCCAGCTTTTGATTCTCCAAAGACATTTCTCACACAAAAACTCAGGTTTTACATCAGTGAATTCGTGTCGTCAGTTGAAATGGAATACAACAGTCCTGGTTACAATCAAACAACGTTGTAAATTTCAATCAAGACTGGATATTACATGTAAGAAATGGTATGCAGTATAATCAATACGTCGAGCATTTTTGGAGACGGTCAGCAGTAACCAGAGCAGACCATCGCGGAAAAGAAAAGAAAATAAAGAGTTTACTTGGTAATAAGACTGCACTTTTTACACATTGTGACGGCGCCTATTTCGTCGTTGTTGTTCTTATGCTTATTTTTTTTTCTTCTTCTTCACAACCTTATTCAGTAGATCGAAAATAATCCATGAAATATGATGACAATACGAGTCCTAATACAAATTTCTTCGCAGGATAAGTCCGCTAAACTTGAAGGGCTGGTCGTCACTTTTTCCCAGACCTCCCCTAAAAATATTTGGTTTTGGGTAATTACCGCTGACCAATTAAAGTTTTCTGTTTTCCACCGCCATGTTGTCGAGTCTGAGAACTTTGTCAAGATCATTCTCGCTTATTCGTGCTGTTGGCAAGGTGAGGAGATAATCAAGGTGTAGAATAACTACTCAACTATGTTTCTTCCACTTTTTTGGAGAGAGGTTCATAAATTCATGCAAAGAAATGATTCTAATCGTAGGCCAGTCAACAAGCAGTATCCATCCATCCCTCAAGATGTTTTCATCGGGCAATACCCGTCTTGTCAGATAAGCTTTTCGTGGTGAGTGTGCACAATAAGATTAACATCAAATCCAATTTGCAGCCGTGACTCATAAGAGAAATCATCAGAAGAAAGATTTTCCACGTTTCCAATACCTAGTGAAGCTAAGTGGTGCGTTTGCTTACTTTGCTTTGCTGTTACATAACGACCCAACTTAAACTTTAGAGTTGCATTGGATTCATTTCTTAAAAAAAAAAGAAGATACGTTGAACAGCTCTTGAAAAGTATGCAATCTACTTACAAAAGTAGTCTCCTACCTGTATAATTTGGCTGTGAGATGATGATACATATATCTCACTTCCAATATTATTTACAAGTAGATGATCTTGAATACCAAAATTGTGATCAGGCTGTATTCAATTTGAAGGGAAACTGAACCAAACTGATACATGACTTTTAATTTGTTCACAGCACAGGGATACTCCAGAAAATAATCCAGACATTCCATTTGAACTGACTGCTAAAAACCTGGAGGTGAGCAACAAAATAGGGAATCAAACCAATATCACTCTCTTAACCCTTTAACTCCCAATAGTGATTAACATGCAACTTCTCCCTAAAATATCTGTACATTTTTTCAGTAAACACGTTACAAGAATGTTCAAGCTTATCAGGTGGAATTTGTTGTATAGATCTTACACCAAATTCTCATAATTAATTTACAAGGAAATGTGTAGCAGCTGGAGGGGAGAATGAACAATCAGATCTTGGGAGTTAAAGGGTTTAAAAAAATTTAATGATTTGTTTATAGCCTGATAGCTTAAGCCATGAAGGAAAAATGATCTTGTTTTTTGAAAAGAGGATATGATCCTAACATCAATGCTTGCTTCATGGGGTTTTCCTTCATGACATTAGTGTTTTAATTACTGACTCTGTGAAGCTCTAACATGAGAATTTGGTACAATCCCACTTATTTATAGCAGTCTTTTTCATTTCTCAATTCATCATGGTAATGGGGATGAGTGAAGTCCAATTTAGTCTGTAGACATAAGGGTAATTTACAAAAAAAAAATGAGGATTATAGTTACAGATGGAAACAGAGGACACAAATTGACCAAGTCCTGTTTCCAATTTATTAAAACTTTAACAAAACTTGTGAAACATATCTGTTGTGAAAAAGTCTATTCAAACATTTAGAGCCTCTAGTTCATTTGGGTGTTCATGAAACTTAATGTGTAATTTAAGATTCTCACTCTTTAACTATCCAATACATGCTCAAATTGGGCTAAAATTCAATTTTTTATGATTTAATTAATACTCAACTCCCCTGATCTGTTTGTTAATTCTCCCCTCTTGCATTTCCTTAGGAGAATTTGTTAAGATTGAGTATTCTCATTACCTGTTTGCTGGATAATGTACAGATATTAAGCGAGAAGTTACTTGTTAATCCTTGTGGGAGTTAAAGGATTAAATCCTTAAATAGATGATAGTGCAGTGAAGTGACACTATACCACCAATATCAACCAAACACTTTTGTCTACCACACTGAATGCAGTGATGAGCATTTAAGCTACACATTCATCATAATTGTTCTAAGAGTTGACCATTTGTTGTTTTCTTAGAGAGCGAAAACAATCATAAACAACTACCCTGATGGACACAAAGCAGCTGCTGTCATACCTGTACTGGATCTGGCACAAAGACAACATGGTATGCAGTGGAATTATAACGTGCTTTTTTCACAGAAAAAAAAAATTTGCATACAGGTTTGGTAGAAGTCAGATCTTAATTGAAAGAAACCTCTCCATCCACTTATCAAGGATGAAAAGACTTACTTAGTGCAAAGCTTCATGCTCAACTCTTTTCAAAGTTGTCATATGGTGACTTAAAGTCACAAAGTGGTCCCCAAAAATAAAATGCCAGCTTTCAAGCTAATGTGTATCTCACTTCAACTGATGGCCATAAGCAGCAAGTTATAAAAAGTTCCCTATTGGCCATGACAATTAAAGTAGTGACAGCCTTGAGCTATGTCATAGGCAAGTAACTTACCGGTAAGTTATTCTTGATCGTATCGCGCCTATTACAGCATGAAAGTTTTTATTTCTCTTTTAGGTTGGCTACCAATTTCTGCAATGAATTATGTTGCTGATTTATTGGAAATGCCAAGAATGAGAGTTTATGAAGTGGCAACATTCTACACCATGTATAACAGGTTTGTTTAGCAGCTTGCTATCTTAAGAAAAAATAAAGTTGCAAAAGTGACAAAATGTCCTCTCTCTTACCATTTTAAGCTTACAATCTTTTTTAAAAGACTCTCACACCTGGTTCTTATCCTCATATCTCTTTATGGAGCTGATAACCTGATAAGAAATGAATTTTTCTCTCCAAGGGAACCTGTTGGAAAATATCACATTCAAGTCTGCACCACAACACCTTGTCAACTGAGAGACTCAGACATGGTAGTAGAAGTTATTTCCAAGAAATTAGGTTGGTTAACTCACCCCACATGCCAAGTAGTATAAACAACTAGAACTTCTATTGGTTCCCCTTGTTTGAATTAATACCAAGGAACCTTCTTTTTACATGACATTTTCACTCCTGAAACTGCAACGTATTCCAAAAGTGGTTGTTTCTTTTCACGAGCTCTTGAGTTATTTAATCAAAAGGTTTTTGACCAATCAGGTTGCATGTCAAAACTTAGCTTTTTTATAAATCTTCATAAATTGTAAAGGTGAAATGTCCATAATTTGATGTTTTAAGGTATCAAGATTGGCGAATCAACAAAAGATGGTTTGTTTACCATGAGTTCAGTAGAATGCCTTGGAGCTTGTGTGAATGCCCCAATGATGCAGATTAACGACAACTACTATGTGAGAACAGTTTCCTTTTTTTCACCTTACCATGCAGTAATAATATACATTTTATTTGTTGCACTGATAAGCTCACCTAGAGTCATAAGAACACTGACCTGGTTACGCACAGGGGAACGGGAAGGAAGATGTTTAAAATGTTAGTACTCATCAAAAGTACTAAAACAGGGAATTAATTTTTGACGAAAATGAGCAGAATGTCGTAGTTAACGATAAATTAACTGGTGGTAATTATTTGCGGGACACTTGGTGGGTACTAGGCTATTGGAAACAAAGGGAAAATGCGTCGACTAATAACATCATTCCTTCATAAAACGGAAGCGTCCCGGGCGTTAAGTATAAAGTAGGAAAAGAATTCTGCCTTATTAATTCATAGGTACGATTCCGACAATTTGTTTAGGAAAGCACGTTACTCTGTAATTAATGTAGTAAAAGGCTAGTCCTAACGACTGTGACTTAACCCACTTTTTCTTATTGTGTATCAAATCTCTCTAGGAGGACCTCGCAGCCAACGACGTAGAAGAAATCATTGACGATCTGATTGCTGGAAAAACACCAAAAGCGGGACCCAGGTATGCCTCTTACATTTACACCTTTTATTCATTAGCTGGCTAGCATGCCCTCATTTTCAGTGCAGTACGAGCGGAGAAACGGCGAGATTCGAACCGATGAGCGAGACGAGCGAGCGAGAGGTACGAGCGAAAGGTTGACGAGGGGTCTGGGCTTGGACCCTCACGAACCTTCCGCACGCTCACATCGGTTGGAAAAGCGTGGGCCTCACCGCTAAGAGAGCGCCCCCGCAGGCGATTGTGCAGGTGATGTTCTTCACTATTTTCTTTTCATTTTCTCTCATGTGGGCTTGCTTTCTCTTCCAGGAGTGGTCGATTTTGTTGTGAGCCCGCCGGAGGACTGACGTCATTAACAGAGCCTCCCAAAGGGCCAGGCTTTGGTGTGCGATCTGACCTTTAAACCGTTTGCTCACTGATAATACTGTTATTGAACCTTGTAAAATAGAAATTAAACTTTGTGTAATCTTGTTTGAGATGCGATAAATAAATTTGGTTTTTAACTTGTTTTGATTGGAGGTTGATTTCACTCTGATATCTTATCTTTTCCGTCACTCTCATCTTATTACAGAAACTTAGAACCACGCACATTTTAGCGAGAGGTAAACGGCTTTTATTTCCCTAACAGAGTCTACGTATTTCGAGACGAATACGACAAATCGATGCATGATTTAGTGTACTTTATTTTACATTTTCTATGATAATAACTAAACAAACCTTACTTTGATGGAAGTCGAGCAAACTCAACACATTAGAGATGAGGAAATAAACGAATTATGGAGACCATTTCCAGCCTAACATATATGATGGCAGCATTGTGAGGTTACTTAACGTCTCATAGTTAACAATCTAGCTCGTGAAATAACTCTACAATGAATTTAACTAAATTTTCTATCTGAATATGATAACGGTAGCACCGCATGGTTTCACTAGTTTCACGGTGCCCTGACTATGTGCAACTTTGCAGGGATGCTTAACCCTTTATACCCTAACATCAATAAGCATATTCTCCATACTAATCTCAGACGTTTCCTAAGTTGCTGACAAGGAGAATTTGTTTAAAATCAACAGCTTCTTTGGTTGGTGATCATTTCCTTTACTCTCGTGACCTTAATGTGTAACTCAAAGGTGACATTATAGAAAGAAAGAAGCTGTGAGTCACTCGTAGGGGTTAAAGGGTTAATGTCACCAACATAAATCATACTCCTTCTTCCGTGAAGAATAATCATGAATTCAAACTGTGATTTAACATAACATATTCTAACAGATTCTAATGATGATGCACCTTTCTAAAGTACAAAGCGTCTCGTACAGAAGCTACCACAAGGGCAGTTCCTACTATGGACAGCTTGATCGGGAACAAGCGTGGATTCTCTATCTCACTAATGCGGACAATAATTTCCTCCGTTTCCTTTAAAATGAGGAAAAATTTGACCTTAATTCGTCGATTTTCAATGGCAATCTGATGATGGCAGCATGCCAAGGTTCACCAAATGTCTCATGGTGGGCCGGCCATGAGGGCAATTCCACGGATGTTGAATCTCACCCATATGACAGACAATCTTCTTCATCTGGGCTTGATCCAATGCTGTTCCAACCATGATAGACATACGGCATGCACGGCTCGCAAACATCTTCCTAACTCTGGAAGGTCTGCACATAATGCCGGGAGAATCACTCAACATGAAAATCAGTTCTTCGATATCCTCCACGCCGAAGGTCCAGTTCTTGCTCATTGGAAGCGAAGATAGTTTGACCTTCCTCATCGCTTCAGCATTTGCGTCAATTTCAAATTCGAACCCATTCTTTCGAAATATATCCACATTGTCCATGAGGATGGCTTCGTTAGCAGCAGTTAGTTCAAGTTTCTGTGGAACAATGAGCCGCTGTGACCTGATTGTGGTATTGCGCTGCTGATCTTCAAAGTTATACTTCTCATCCGATGCATGCTGATCGATTATAAACAAATCATTGTCCAGTTTAGCGATGATGAAACCCAAATTGAACTGACCTAGAATTTCCATCCGTTTAAACATGTCTTTGCTAATATTCTTTCTCAGCTCTGACTCTGCACTAGAATTGCTCTCTGGAGCAATCTTGGCTTTGAACAAGCGAGCTTCAACAGCCCTTGTTTTTTCTCGCTGCGGTTTCTTGACGTTAGTTATCAGATTATCCATACAAAAGTTAACTGTGCTTTCCTTCCGGTCTCTAAATGAACCGGAAGCAACTTGTTTTGTACTTGAAGCATTCGGACGTTTAGGAGTTACAAGTAACGACTTCATGGCGTCATCCCTGCCATCCACATTTTTATAAGAGCATTGATTTTCATTCACAGGCTCTGGATCATTTTGGCTGTTTTCTCCGGATTCGTTTATAAAACTAAAACTTTGGGAAGAAGCAGGACATCTTGAACTACTCTCCTCAACAGAATTATCATCTGAAACAGTCGCTCCGCAAGGTGTGTCCCTTACCTCACTCACTCTTACTACACTGTCGCTTTCACGCTGTACTGTACAGTCCTCGTTATTATGATCAAGGATATACTTCTCTTTCACAAAGTTCTTCGTGTCTAATTCGTCCTGAACTTCAATAACATGTTCGTTACTTCTGCCATCTTCCCTGAGTTCTTCATCATCTCCGTGGCCGTTAATTACGGTTGTATGTTTCCTGTCAGATCGTAGTCCCACGTTGTGGCTTCGATTTGACAAACCACCAACCCGAGAAAACATAGAAGTAAGCCTTGCTTGCTTACTGCAGGGTTCTTTTGGTTTGTTCTTAACATATCCATCAACAGCTGAGAATTTCCTCTTAAAACTACTGAGGGAAGGGAACCTCATTCTCTCTTCAGACACACCAGGTCTGGATATCAACATAGGCTCGACAGACTGTGATACTTTAGCATCTTTATTGACTGTAGAGCCCGTACCTTTCTGATTACGAAGTTGCTCGTTCTCGGGGAAAGTCACATTGTTAGCCTCTTTTGCTGAGAAAGATTCGGCCAGTGTTATTTGCATCAGAGGTTTTTGATTGACATCAAATGAAGCTGTACAAGGGTCAAACATTCTCTTCAAGGATGATTTCATTGTGGCCAGGAGCACCTTCTCCTCCTGAACAAAAACCTGTCGTTTGTCCGGAGTCACATTCACGTCCACTCCATCTGTCAGAAGAATCCATAAAAACATATATTTCAGCTTGCGAGCAGGCTTTCATTATATATTAACGCAGCGCCATGCGCGGCAAAGCCCACGAATTTCGAGCCAACGAACGAAACAAGCGCGCGAGAGGTCTGTGTAGAGCCCGGCACGAGAAATATGACACGCGAGCTTCGCTGCTCGTGCCGTGGCAACAAAGTGAGCCTGCTCACAGTTAATATAATTTCAATGAACGTTATTATGTGATCAACCCTTTAGCTCCCAAGATCTCATCAGTGATTCTCCTTACTGTCTGCCAAACGATCTCATTATGTTAGTTTGGAGAATTTGGTATCGGATCAATTAGTAATCCCATAATTGATATTTTTCTTAATTCTCATCTCTTGTCTACATGATATGGTAGAAATATAGTGAGGAAAAATTCTGTCTTTGTCACCCACGGAAGTTAAAGGGTTAATTGACTAACAAAACAAACAAACAAAAAGGTCAGTTTTAAGATTTTATTACGTAACAATTCGAAAAGAAATAGCTTTAATTTGACCTGCGGATGAAATGATCCCCGCAGGCGAACTGCCATTTCAGCAATTACAGAAAAGAGGCCTAAAAAAATCAGGTGTCGACGGGATTCGAACCAGTGCCTCCCATATTCTAGTTGGGCACTGCCACCATGGATTTTTTACGACCTCAACACTGCACAGGTTCTGTATTGAACGGATGCGAAGCGAGGGTCTCTTGGGGTGTTAGATAAAAAATAAGTTTCACTGTATTGTATGTGCTTGGTACATAACAATAATCTTTGTAATCAGAACTCACCTCTTGCTAAGGTAATATCTAGCATCACAAAAGGATATTGATGTCTGTTGTAAGTGTGATAAACCTCATTTATGACTCTGAGCACTTTGGATAGTTCACAAGGTCTTTTGTTAATGTACAAAAACTGACGATCAGCAGTACTACGTCCCATGCCGTGATCTGGTTTTGAAATATAGCCCGTGATATGGAAGGGATTGTTCTGTAGGTCAGTTTTCGCTGCATCAAGGCCGATTTCATTGCAATCCTCTTCGTTTGGCGCCGATTGTTCAAAAGCCATTATAGTTTGTACCTAAAGAAATAAAATTACATCTTCAAGTTAACGCGAAGGACGGCAATACAGGACTGTGGTGTTTTTGCTTCCCTAAAATTTTTGATTGGTGCCCAAAACAAAACCTCGCACTTTCTCCTCAACCAATCGGAAGCAAAACTGGAATCAACCAGAACTTGAACACTCAATTTTTCTGGAATGCGAGGCTGGTTTTCTTTGTGTCATTTGATTTAGCACTAAGTCCCGAGGTGTTCCTCTGTTCTGATCAGCTGCCGTGATTTCGTATTTGGGATTTCGGTTTAACAAAATTAAATCAAAAAGCACTTTGAGAAGGCAACAACATGGGATTGCAGAGGGTTATCAATCCACAAAAAAGAAATAAGATATAATTACATGATAACTGCCTGAGTAGGTGTGAGAACTTATAGAATTACAGATCTACAAGAACTCGCTAGTTTGAATAAACCAAAATGTCATGGTTTCAAGGAAAAATAAAATCATGACTGGGTGTGAAGGTATCTGAGCAAAAGGGTTGGCAACTGGAGGGAGCGTGAGAGCACCTGAATAAGTAGTTTAAGGGCTTCTGAGAGTGGAGCCTACAGGAACTTGCTGGTTTTAATGAATCAAAATCTTGTGGCACCAAGGTGAAATAAAACCACCCCTGGGTGTGAAGGTATCAAGGCAGGACAGTTAGCCACTTAAGAGTATGTAAGAGCACCTGGCTGTACATTTAGGGAACTCCTCTTGAGGCATCAAGAGTACTCAAGGAAGCCTTAGTCAATGTATCAGATAGCAAGACAGTCAATTGTCTGTCAACACAGAGTTATCTTTCAAACGTCATTTTATGTTATCGTAGAGAGAAGAGTGTCACAAATAAACACCACATAGAGTTAAACTGGGTAAAACTGAACTGTACTCAACCAGATATTTCATGCTGAAACAGCTAGTGTATAGGCTCACTAATAACTGTTTATCATTCATGATGTCACTGTAATAGCAAGTTGGTAAATAGTCAGTCAGAGGTTGGCAAAGGCCTCCTGCAGTACACTGTCATGATGTATTTCAGGAGGGTGCATCATGGTCATAAGAAAATTAAAATAATGGGCCCCCAGAGTGAAATTCACCCTGGTTTGCAATCGCATGTGAGAAAAGTGAATGTGAAGTCCAATTACTGCATTGATGTTCAAAGTCAAGTCAGGGGTACAGTACCCAAAGGCAGAAAAAAAATTTTGTGATGGCACCACAGTATCTCAGTGTCAAACTCTGAGTTAGGAGTTTTATTTGAGGAGATACCACAAGGTACCTACTAGCCTTTTTAACAACCTTGTACTATACCAGTCAGGGAAATACACACTTCACATACCTGCTTTGGTCCAAAGACACAGGTTATGTTATCCTTCACCTGATCACTTCCATTTGTTGACACAATTGTTGTCTTCTTTCCCTTTTCCACTTGATTACTGCACATTATCCTCACACCTGTACTTACAAGACAGTATCCTTGAAGGACATGTGCTAGTTTTGAGAACTCCCTTTTGATGTTCCTGAGAAACTCTCTATGGCGTACAGGTAAAGTTGAAAAAAGGTTTTCTAATGACACAGTGGTGCCAACAGCCCTAGCACAAGGGTTCTTGGAAAGCAGTTTTCCATTGTGATCATATTCTAGTCTTGTTGCCACAGTCTGGGACGAGTGATGTGTCACTATTATAAGTTTGCTGTGGAGAGAGAGAAGAATACATCAGGCGAATTGAATGGCTTGTGGTTCCTAAAAATGTGGTATCATTTTCTCATTACCCAGTTCTTGAACCCCAATGGCATGTAAAATGACTTGTTTCTGTGACCTTTTTGCTGTTCTTTTAATTGAGCACTACAATACAAGAAGCCCCATACCAAGTTGGTTGAGGCACTAGTCATAATAAAACTATGAGATCAAAAGATCC